GTGTAATGTGAGAAGAAAACCAGTGATTATATTATGGTTTATTTTCATGACAGCTAACCACAGTTTGACTTCATATGTTGTTATTGACTTACTGATAGGAGTAATGATATAGTGGAGTAGTGATGTCATGCTTTAATTTTCTGGTTTGTTCCCTGGCTTATCTTCGTGCTCTGTCTAAGCCTCTAATCAATTCAGAGGGAGATAAAATAGAAGTGGCAAAAATATGAAAGGAATCATACCAGGAATTGGTTAAACAAACCTTGATCAACTTCAAGGTTGACTCTAGCTTGCTCAAGAAACTCAAATAAAATATGATTTGGTGCCTGAGTAAATAATCCACAAGCAGCTGATTAGTCGTGATAGATAGATGTTGGCATGATTACAGACAGTATATCACTTTGAGAATTCTTAATTTCATATCCTACCTGTGAGATTTCTAGAGATACAGTATTTCTTAGGAATGCCTCAATTCAGATTTCTGTCCGGAGCAGAAGGCACCTCCAATGGCCTTTCCAAATATCTGATTCTCTGAAAAATGTTGAGCTAGACTGGCCTTCGTTGACCTAGCAGAACTATTTTTAAGTTCCTTAGGTTTTTTTTTCTTTTTCTATTATAGTGATCATAGTTAGATATATATCCTGTCTTTCTTCCTGCAACTCAAGGCAACAAACAAACATCCATCAGTTTTTCTCCATAACCTGTGAGTCAGGTTGGACCAAGAAAACGTAATTGGCCCCAAATCCTGGGGAACTTCCTTGGCTAATTGAACCAGGTCTGCCTGGTCCTGCTGCAACACTTCCACACTGCCCAGGACTTTTATAAGTGGTATTTGGCAAAGTATTCACCAGCCTTTTGGTCATTAGCAAAACTGCCCCCCCCTCCTCCAACATCGTCTGTGAGTATAGTTTGTGGTTACTTATTCCTTCTGAGGATTTTAATAGGAAGCCTGTTTTTAACTGGAGCCTGATTCTAGGCAAGGCATGTTCAGCTTGTGCCAGTTGCAAGCACTGGCACCGTCTCAAGCTCCCCCAAGCAGAGAGGAAGGATTGCTGGGCCAAAGGCTTCCAAGAGATGGGGTGGGGGTGGGGAGGGGGTCTACTGAACAGCTCAGGAGGCTGAACAGATGGTCTGGGGAAGCTGGCAGGATGCCTGTGGTGTTTGTGCCAGCCACAGAAACTGTGTTTTGCAGCAAACTTGAGCCTGTGTTTGCGATACAGTGGGTAATTTAGATGGCATAAACATTCACGTTCTTTGCCACCCACCCAAAGGGTTGAGAAGAAGATGGCAAAAGAGAAGAGTGATGTTTTGAGTGGGGAACAGGAAGCGGGAAACACACATATGGGATCGGGTGAAAAGAGCAAATGCTTGCAAGTTATCAAGCTGTGGATCTGGCAACTTGTCGACTGTGTGGATCAGGGCACCGAAGCGTCAAGACTCATAGGGTTGCCAGTATGTTGTTTGTTTTGCCAGATGTATGAGGTGATATGAAGATACGTTTGTATGTATACAAAATGCACCCTGCTCTGGAAGAGGTCCAGAGTTGGGAATGTTGTTATTGAAGACAGAAGACCAGAAAGCCCATCTGCATCGTTACTGTTCACTGGATCAGAGGTCTCCAAACTTGGCAACTTTAAGACTTCAACACCCAGATTCCCCAGCCAGCATAGAGTTTAGAGACCTGCACTAGATGAACATAAATGTGGTTTTAAAAGAGAAAAAAGGAGAAGGGATTTCTCCTCCCCTGCCCCAAGATTTTAGGGTACAAGGCAATAAAAAAAACCTGCAGGGGCATAAAACATGGTTAAATCTAGGTCTCTATCAGATGCCGAGACTTCTTTATTTCTAAATTTTCTTTCTGGCTTTTCATAGAAAAAACAAGAATACAACAATTTCATTTGTTTTTATACATTTATATGCTGTTCCAGTTATCAGACAGCATTAAGCAGCTTGCAATCCTACCATATTCATGTAAGGTACATCTACAACGAAAGCAGTAACGTTGCCCACAATCACATTTGATTCAAATTATTAAAAATATTATATGCAAGCTGCCAGTTCTTTAGCTGGTGTTGCCCTTCATATGCATTGAGCTCTTCTAAGAACCTAGGATGTCACAATGAATTGGTATAGTGTACGTGCAGATTCAAGCAGTGTGGCTTTTTGTAACTGACAGATGGAAATTTTGCCACTATGCAGAGTTTCTATGCGCCATCCAATATTTGTAGGTCACCCAATTTGCCAATAACCACTGGGAGCACCACAGTTGGTGTATACCGTAATCTTTCAATTTTCAGTATTTGATATTTTGTGATCTTTTCTAATTCTTTGACTTCTATACTACTATCTCCTGGTGTTGCCACATCAATTATCCACACTTTCTTCTTCTCAACCACAACTGATCAGTTATGTTACAAGCCAAGTCTTTTGTCAGTTTATATTTGCAAATCCCACAATATTTTAATCTGCTCATTTTCAACTACTTTTTCAACTCTGTGTTCTTACCACTTTTTCATTACTAGCTCTTGATAATTTTTACAGATGTTTCAATGAATCATTTTGGCTTGTTTATAATCAGTTTGTGTGATCTTCTTGCACAAGCTAAGTATACGATCTTCTGTTTCTTCAGCGTCTTGCACAATCTGCGCTTTGAATCATTTGATGATTTATCAATTGTTGCCTTGATGGCGTTAGTTCGAATTGCTTACACTTAAGCAGCCAAAAAAATCAAGCCTTCAGTTTCTGAAGTTAAGATTAAATACAAAGAAATCCCAATTGATCAACAGGTCCAGCAATCAGCCTTAGCACTGAAAGTAAATATCTTGAAGTGGTAGATAACTTCTGTCTTTTAGGATCAACTATTAACAGTAAAGAACCAGAAGTCAAGAAATATGACACATTGTTAGTTTATCCACTAAGTAAACCAGACCAGGAAATCAACTCCACAGGAAGACTAAAATTATCTTTATAACCATTTGCCGTAATAGCAGAACTTTGTAAGTCTAATTCTGCTATACCTTCTTCCCTTTTTCATACTCCAGTAAATCAGGGAGGCCTCGGCTTGACCTGCTTCTGAATGTTATCTTGTTGCTCTGGATTTTTTTTTAAAAATGTAGAAAATGTCTGTTCCATGTTTTCATCAAGATGATCTTTCTTAAGCTTGAAAGGATAACAATAAAGTCCTTGGAGAAGATACTCAGGTGCTGTGATGCCTTCAAAGGTCACAATCATGCTGGCATCAGTTTGAGTTGTGACATTCAAATGGAAGTGAAAGTTGGATTTTGAACAAGTGGGAGAGGAAGAGTATTGACTGTTTTTAAACTTTGGTGTTTCAGAAGACCCTCAGGAATGCTATAGATAGCCAGGGAAACAAACAACAAACAAACAAACAATCAAATGGCTCACAGAACAAAGCAGTCCATAGTTTTCACTTGAGGCATAAATTACTATTTTCAATTTTTTTATATACATTATTGAAAGACCTTGATTTCTTGACAAGCATGCTGGGAAAAAAATGGAAGGAACTAAACAAAGACCACCAGAAGTGTGGGGGGACTCAATTATTGCAGCAACTGTTCTACTGTTACTAAGGCCTGAAAGCCACCAGGTGGAGATAGAACTTTTCCAGGAAGTTGTTAGGTTATTGAAAAGGACAATATTATAACTTGATGGCGCATAATGAAATCAACAAATTGACTCCTCCTGACATGACCTGATTTTTATTTTTTTACACTGCCATAGACGTAACATTAATCTGAGGCATTGTAGGACATTTTAGTTGGACATCTAATCACTCAGCACTCTTCAGAAACAGAAGCTAAGTGCCAGGTCAGCCTATAAGGCTTAAGCTTCACCACCTTGAATCAAAGATAGCCCTAGAGCAGGGGTAGGCAACTGTGGCAACTGTATGACTTGTGGACTTCAACTCCCAGAATTGTAGTTTGTACAAACATACAGTGATATGTTTAAAGACAAAATTTTGCTCAACTTTACTGATGCTGATCATGAGCAAAAATTTCCTAAAATTGCCCTTTCTAGCTATTGTGCCAGAGCCGGAAGTCTCACTCACTTAACCCTTATACAAAACCCTTTCTAAGAAGTTTGTGAAACAGATGCACTTATCTAAGCCTGTTTTAAAACTGCAGCCTGGTGAGTCAAGCCTGCGTGCTCTCTTGTTCTAATTGCGCCTTATTGTTACCTGCTTTTTTATTTATATTTATTTTATTTGGTTTGTCAATTGCTTACAAGATAATAGGTATAAGTAAAAACATAGTTATGAATACATGGATACATATAAGAAAAATAAAAGAAACAATAGAACAGGGATGGTAGGCACGTTGGTGCGCTTATGCACGCCCCCTACAGACCTCTTAGGAAAGGGGTGAGGTCAATAGTAGACAGTCTAAGGTTAAAGTTTTTGGGGTTTGGGGAAGAAACCACAGAGTCAGGTAAAGTATTCCAGACATTGACCACTCTGTTGCTGAAGTTGTATTTCCTGCAATCAAGTTTAGTGCGATTAACCTTGAGTTTGTATCTATTGTTTGCTCTTGTGCTGTTATGGTTGAAGCTGTGCTTCAACCATAAATGAAGTGCGCCTGGTCCCTGAACTGGAAGAAAGAAATGCCAAATAGAATTCCTTTCAAAAAACACTGTGTTCCTGTTTGCCCGTGGGCAGAAGGGGGTCACATGGTAATGTAGGCTAAATGGATGACCCCCTCCTCTATCTGCCTTCGTACTTTCTTTCGGCCTTGGGATGTCTCTCATTTATCACTGAATATTCATGCCACCTTTTCTTAAATGCTCAAAGCGTTTTCATATGTGCACGTTCAAATCAATTCACTGCAAGCCTATAAAGGGAAATATTGCTAATAATATCTGACTGGTTTTTAGGGTCACAAGACTGTGCATACTTTTTGTAAACTTGGAGACGAGGTGCATCTTTCTTCATGCGTGTGTGCCTTGCTTACCCTGTTTTTGCTTTCTTTTTTTCCCATCACATCCAGAATGAAGGTTCTGTCCAAGAATATACAATCACATATCTTGTGAAAGAAGGTTCCGAGAAGGCCGACCCATCTCAGTTTGAGCTCCTTAAAGTTCTTGGACAGGGCTCTTTTGGCAAGGTGAGGCTATATATTTCATAGTTAATGTAAACTGTGTGTGTTTACATTACATAGCTCCAAAACTACTTCCCATTTCTGTTCCCCCCCACCCTCCCAAATACTGCTAGATGTGTTGCTGTTTTTCATCTAGACCTTTTCTGCACAGGTCTTTCTTGTCAGAAAAATCACCGCACCAGATAACAGCCACCTCTACGCCATGAAGGTCCTCAAGAAGGCAACTCTGAAAGGTGAGGTGGTCCTTCCTACATGCTTTTGAACCTAATTTATTGGCCAGTGGAAGACATGAGGGACATTCATTAGCCTGGTTTTCTTCTAGCCCAAGGGCTTCCAAACATGGGAACTTTAAGACTTGTGGACTTCTACTCCCCTTGAATTATGCTCTTCTCTGTCACTAGTGCGTGATCGTGTGAGGACCAAAATGGAAAGAGATATTCTCGTTGAAGTAAACCACCCATTCATCGTGAAGCTCCATTATGGTGAGTACAAGATTTTGTTTTCTTGATTTTGAGGAGGAAAGTAAATTGCAGGTAAGTGATTTTTTTTGTGGGCTACTTCATAGGACTTTACTGAGCAGAATCTAAAAAGATAATTACTCAGAGTTGTCAAATAGCATGGGCATAGATGCAGCTGGTTTTCTGGATGAGGCATTTATTTATTTGCAGTGGGGGGTCTCCAAGCTTGGCAACTTTTAAGACTTGTGGACTTCAACTCCCAGAATTTCTCAGTTGCTGGGGAATTCTGGGAGTTGAAGCCCTCTAGTCTCAAGTTGCCAAGTTTGGAGAACTCTGATTTACATTATGGGATGATACACAGTTTTTTTTTTCAGTGTGCCCTGCTTTTCTGCTCAAGCAATGAACTTTAACACAATTTTTAGAAAAAAAAAGAAATTAAATTAATATTCTAGGATTTTTCCATGCAAAGCAATACATGTTTCAAACATATACTAACAAAAGCTGATTAAAAGTATAAACAAAACTGCACACATGGGCATCTTTGGATGTGGGACTAGGAGGAACAAATGACCCAAGCATGATTAACCTTGCCAGACTAATGTTAAAATACTTGCCACAGGCACCACAAATTTATAATGATGAAGTTTGCATCATGGTGTCATTATATATACAGGGAGACCTTGATTTATAGCCATTCTTTTAACAGCTGTTTAAAATTACAACAATGCTGAAAAAAGTGACTGATGAATGATCCTCACATTTATAAATGTTGCAGCATCCCTGCAGTCACATGATTGCAGCCCAGGTGTTTGTCAGTTGCCTTGTATTTACAATGGTTGTAGTGTTCCAAGATCATGTGATCACAATTTGCAACTTTCCTAGCTGGCTTCCAATAAGCAAAGCCAACAGAGGAAGCCAGATTTACTTAACAGTCATATGATTTGCTAAACCATCACGGTCATAAAATCAGGTGTGGTCATGTGATGACTCATTTATTTGTTAAATTTATTTGCCACCTATCTCACCATGGTGCTACTCTAAGTGGCTGAGAACAGTAGAAAGGAAGAAACGAAAGGAGTGTAAATAGAACAGAAGTAACATAACAGAGCAATACAATTTAACAACCGCATTGTGGTTTTAAGTCGAGCACTATCTGTATGTCATTACTGATGTCATTTCATATGTGTTTTCACTACAAATTTCAGTTCCTAGAAGCGCCCTTCTCAGCATAGCCATTTCTGAGAATTTGGGGAATTGAAGATCATGCATCTGGAAGCCATCCAGTTTAGGGAAGAATGCCTCAAGTTTAGCTGATATCGGCCTTCCCCAGCTTCCATGATGCAGGGCCACCACTGCAGAAGGCTGCCCCAATTATTTAGGGAATGCTGATCTCTGTTCCCTGCCTTGCGTTTCAGCTTTCCAAACAGAAGGGAAAGTGTACCTCATCCTCGACTTTCTCAGAGGAGGGGACCTCTTCATGCGCCTTTCCAAAGAGGTGAGTGTATTTGTATGCTACGTGGCTTACAGATGTTTATTGGACATTGGAGGTAAGATTTGCAATGTAGACATTGCAGTGTAGACATTTTGTAAGGATGCTGGCACCATTGACCCAGAGTGGTGTTCGATAGCCTTGGCAATTTTAAGAGGAAGTAGACTTCAGCTCCCAGAATTTCCCAGGCAGCACATTTTATAGCCTTTTTAGCAGCAGTCATTAAGGGGAAGCTATGTGTCAACCCTGAAACTGACCTGACCGAAGGACATTTTGAGGCCTCAGTGTTGCCACTCTGCAGCTGAGGGATAGAGAGCGGGGAATAGATAGCTGGGGTTTGTAGCCAAAATAAAATACTTCCTCCTGGGAACCAAGGACATTCCCACAGGTGGTTGGAGAGAGGAGGAGTTAAAGTTACCAAGCAACAGGACGACACGTTGATTGGACCATGTGACTGATTGTTTGGGGAAGGAGGAAAACTCTTAAATTTAATTAGGTAAATACCACAGGAACATTCAGAATCAGTTTTCACCAGCCTGTGCCAATATGATATATCCAAATAAAACTGTTCTGCCTCAGAGTTCTGTGTACTATGGGTGTATTACTTGGAAACCTGATGCCATGGTCATGAAATGAGCCTATGATTTGGAATGGGGTAGTTGTAGCCTGACACTGGAAGTAAAACTCTGATTTCTGTCAAAAAGCTCATAAATCATGGTTACATGATTGTCGGGTGCTACAATAGACATAAATAGGGGCTGATTGCTGAGCACCCAAAATGCAGTAATAGGTTGGGGACTACTTGCAGTAGGGATCAATCAGAATAGCTTCTAATTAAGACTCTGCTCTCTTTACCCCATTTTCCCCTTCTTTCCTGCTGCTTAGCAACTTCCAACAATGCTTTTAAAATTGATGCATTTTCTGTGACCTGCCTGTAAAATAGAGGCAAGTGAGTATATGGCATACCTTTAACAAAATAGAAAGGAAAGAGATGATCTTTGACAGAGTGGGATCTCAAATTAATCATGCTGGCCATGGGTCCCCGGTGCAAGACACAGGGTTCTGGTGAAGGAGAGCCCAGTTTCTGTAACAACAAAAACGTTGCATGCAAATGCTGATCTTGTGTGCCGGAAAATAGCTGTATTCTAAGAATTTTGCCCTTCTCAGCCTGTCCCCTTATCCAAAAGAGAGCTTTGAAAGAGTCATTGCTGAGAAATCGGGTTTGTGATTAATCCAATCATTGCATCTCATACGGAAGTCATGAACATTGTTTAAAAGAAAAGAGGAAAGGGATTCTTACACTGCAGAGTATAGAGTCCTTGTTTATTCCACAGCCTTATAGTCACAGATGCATTATGGGTCAAGCTGGCAACTGCAACTTCACAATATCTGTAAGAAAAGAGTGGGCTTTGTTCTGGCACTCACATCTGACATCTTGACTTTTCTGACCCTTCCTGTATATGGTCCTGCACACACATGCGAGCCCCTATACCCTCACAGAGTACTGGTAGTCCTCCACTTATGACTACAGTTGGGACCAGAATTTCCATTGCTACGCAAGTTGGTTGTTAAATGAGTCACACCCAATTTTATGACCTTTTACCCCCATGGTTGTTAAGCCAGTTATTGAAGTTCTTAAGTGAATCAGGCGGTCGTTAAGCAAATTTGGCTTTTCCCATTGACTTTGCCTGCTGGGAAGATCACAAAATCATGTGACCTGGGATGCTGCAACCATCATAAACATCTGTCGGTTGCCAAGCGCCTGTGTTTTAATCACAGGGTTACTGTGATGTTCATAAGTGTGAGGACCTGTCATAAGTCACTTTTTTCCTGTGCCGTTGTAACTTCAAAAAGTTGCTAAATAAATGATTGTGGATCAAGGATTATCTGTACTGTATATAGATAGCCTTGTTTTTCTTTATTGTATCGCTTTACCTGAACTGGCCTTTCTCTTTTCCTCTCAGGTGATGTTCACAGAGGAAGATGTGAAGTTCTACCTTGCAGAACTGGCACTGGGACTCGGCCACTTGCATCGTTTGGGAATCGTATACAGGGACCTCAAGCCAGAGAAGTAGGCACAGGCCAGAAGCTCGTTGACTGGCTTCCTCCAGGGTAGCTTACTGGGTGGCGAATACTGTGTGTGGCCCTACTCAGTGGACACTCAAGGGACCACTAACTCATCCAAGCAACATAGTTCTACTGATAGAAGAAAATATTTGTAGTTCAGGCTTGAACTGTGGGGCCTTTGCTGCTTTTTGAGCTTGGTGGTTTTCTTGCAGATGTTTCATTACCAAACTAGGGACGTCATCAGTGCTAGAAGGGAATGGAAGAGAACAACATAGTTCTCTGAGGGTTCAGCTTACAATAACAATGTTAGTGGAATGTAATGCCTCTTGAGGCCTTACCCAGCATCCCATTTATGGCACTCAAGGACCCAGAGATTACACCCTTGTGTACACCCCTAAATGCCCAATTTTGTCGATGCATTTAGTTTCCTTTTTTCAAGGAAGAAAGGTGGAAACTGGAAGAGGTAAGCCTACAGGGGCTGAGTCACTCCTGTCTACCCAGAGCTGCTCCAGAACATAAACACCTCAACATTGCGGGCGGGAGGCTGAGGGGTTCAAGGTGTTTGAGAGTGATTTGCTCTTCAGAGCCGCCTTCTTATCCTTCACTTTTTTTTGTCTATGGCAAAAATATTTCAATTTTTAAACTCATCTTTATCCTCCCCCCGCCCCCATGCAAAAAGGGCTGTTTAGTTGATGTTTAGTTGCGTTTATTTCCTGGTTTTATTTCAGCTATTCTAGCTTATTTGTTGTGTTCTATTGTGTTTTCTCTTTCCCAGTATTCTCCTAGATGATGAAGGACATATCAAACTTACAGGTATACTCTCCCCTGTTTCTTGTTGATATTTCTTGTGCTTGATTAAAAAAGAAACTATCTTTCTACCTTTCCTTTCCCTTATTTTCTGGTGCTCTTCATTCTCCAACATCAATTTACCTTGCCCATCCCCAACCCTTATCTCTCTTGTAGACTTTGGTTTAAGCAAAGAAGCCATTGACCACGAGACGAAGGCCTACTCTTTCTGTGGAACCGTGGAGTATATGGCACCAGAAGTAGTGAATCGCCAGGGCCACACCCAGAGCGCAGACTGGTGGTCCTATGGAGTACTAATGGTACAGTTCCTTCTGTCAGTTTGTTAGTGGCTCAGATGCTCTCAGAGAGTTGGCAGCATCCATGTCTTTAGTTAAAAAAATGACATAGAAATAGTCTCACAGCAGGTTGAAACCATGAAGCTAAATGTACAACCAGAAAGTGCATTGGAATCAGAGAAGACCACTCTAGAGATGGTCCATTATCACGAGAGAGAGACTTTTTCTTGGATCAAGAAAGAGTGAGGCGAAGGCCGCTATTCAGGAAAGGTGACCCAAGCTAATTTGTTATGAAACCCAGGTTGGGAAACAGACTGAAATGGATTGCAAATACATTGATTTCAGCCCAAGTGGGGCAGAGTTGCATAATTTTCATCTTCTCAAGCATCGACTGGTCAACAATAGGAGCATTCATCAGTGTCACAAGAGGCTTTTTTTTTTCTGGAAAGATTGCAGAGGCATTTGCTACTTCCCAGAGCTGGCTGGTCAATCTTTCAGTGGTTTGACAAATGGGTGGTCAATTGAATCCAAATTTATCATGTCACTGCTAATTAAAATACCTATGGAAACCTTTCTGAAAATGCCTTGGCCGTTAGTTGCTAGGCAAGCCGGGCCATATATTACCCAAAAAAATCTCTGCTGTGGGACTTGCAATGATACAATGGGGGCCATAAACACATTGTTTTCTTTTTGCTATCACTAACATTGTGCGGTTTCTTTGGGCAGCCTGCCTTGCTCTCGGCTTGTCCTGCTTCTGCAGTTTTTTCAATGCTGCTTGTTTCCAATTTCCTGGTACATGATGGAGCTAACCAAATTGTTGGCCAGGTGTAGGCATCCAGTGGCAGTCAAAAGTCCAAAGTCGCCTCCTTGCTGTCCATCTTTCCAAGGGACATTGGGAAGTTTAGTTGAGTAAGCCCTGAGGTGCTGTAACACGGGTATTTATGCAGGTGGTCCTCGATTTAAAGCTATTGATTTAGCGACTGTTTGAAGTTACAACAACACTGAAAAGAGTGTGTCCTCACACTTATGATTGTTGCAGTGCCCCCCATGATCGCATGATTAGAATTCATGTGGCAACTGGCATGTGTTTATGACGGTTGCAACATCCCAGGGATCACATGATCATCATTTGCATCATTTCTCACAAGCAGTCACTGAGGAAAGCTGGATTCGTTTAATGACCATGTGATTCACTTAAACTGCAGGGATTCACTTAACAAACATGACAGAAAAGGTCACCAAATCAGGCGCAACTCACTTAAAAACTACTTTGCTTAGCACTGTAAGTCGAGGACTACCTGTAGTGATTAGGACTCAGTTGCATAGGTCATCTCTGCATTCCACATGAGGCTGTGGTGTTTGTTAATAAATTGCCACTCACGTTAAGAGGAATCATCCTAAGAGCTCTCAGGAAAATTGACCAGGCTTCAGATGAGTCTTTCCCAATTTTGGCAACTTCTACATGTATGGAGTAGCTCCTAGAATTGTCAGCAATGGCCAGACTGGCTGGGGAATTCTAGGAATTAAAAGTTTACACACCTGCAAGTTACACACTTCCAAGTTAGAAAACTTCTTTTTGAATAAACTGTTTCGTGCAACCCTGCAGCTTAACTTGGAAATAATCTGGCTGTAATGCTGGAGAGGGAGAGAAATGTCCCAGACTTTAAGATCAGCTTTTGAGGCCTTCCTCCAAATCTCCTCCCCAAAGGAGGTGAGGTAGATCTCTTCAAGGGGACGAGCTTTTTCAGTGGTGAGACACCATTTATGGAATTCCCTCCACAGAAAGAGGCTCAACCCATCGCGTTGTTCTTGGCTCCAAGTCAAGACCTTGCTATTTTCCCAGCTTTTCTAATGGTCTTTTAATTGCATTTTAATTCATCTCAGTTTAAACATTTGAATGACTTCCTTACAGCTGCCTAGTTTACATGGCATTTTAATTTTTTTAAAAAAATTGCACATGTTTTGATCTAACTTGTATTTTTCAGTGTGTTTTTAGTGCAAGCTGCAGAGAAGACTTCGGCTGATGGGCAGTTTAATTTAATTAATAAATAACATAAAGCACACACCCCACAAGAACAAGGCATTGCCCTTCTGTCTGGAAGGGGAACGCTCAATTAAGAGCATGACTTCTAGTGAGTTAGACTGATGAAAAATTAAAACAAACCTGTGTAGTTACCTGGAAGTCCTACTGCAGGGGTCCCCAAACTTGGCAACTTTAAGACTTGTGAACATCAACTCCCAGAATTCTCCAGCCAGCTATGTTGGCTGGAGAATTCTGGCAGTTGAAGTCCACAAGTCTTAAAGTTGCCAAGTTTGGAGACCTCTGTCCTACTCCAATAAGGCATCTTGAGCAGAAGCCTTTTAAACTTTCTGGATGGTCCTCCTGGAATCCTCCACACCACACCTGAGACTCTTGAAATCAACTCAAGCAAGAGATCTTTGTAAAAGTACCTGTAATGCAAGCAAGGATGGTTTTTAGCTGAATACGTGCTGCCCTCTTGTGGCGATTACCTGCAAAAATGGGCTGGCTCAAAACTATCAGTTTCCATTTGATCTGGATAATGGAGGAGAAGCTCCTTAACACAGGTAGTCCTCGACTTGCAACAGTTCCTTTAGTGACCGTTCAAAGTTACAAAGCCACTGGAAAAAGTGACTTGTGACCATTTTTTCACACTTACGACTGTTGCAGCATCCCCCTGGTCAGATGATTAAAATTCAGATGCTTGGCAAGCGACTCATATTAATGAAGGTTGCAGTGTCTTAAGGGTCATGTGATCAGCTTCTGCGATCTTCTGACAAGAGAAGCCAGATTCACTTAACAACCATGTTACTAACTTAACAACCGAAATGATTCACTTAACAACTGTGGTCAAGAAAGGTGAAATGGGGCAAAATTGACTTAACAAATGTTTTGCCAGCCCTTTAACAGACCCCACAAGGATTACAGCAATACCTCTTTATTGCTGCTGCGTAGAAGAACGGGATCTTGAAAGCCTATCCTAATGTCTCTCTGTCCCTCCTTATATTGAAGGAATGGTTGTTTGAGTTTCTTTTTCACACTTACTGTAATCTCTGGACTGCATAATTGCATTTCCAATCATTTCATTAAGAATTACAAATAGAAAAAAATAAAAGCTAAAAGAAAGAGTGAAAAAAGAAAAAAGGCAACTCACTCTTTCATTCCAGCAAATAAAAACAATTTTAGTAATTTGCTGCCATCTCTAAATGCAACATAAACTTGGTAACTCATGTTTTAATTAAAAACAACATCCAAAAACCTCATTATTATTCTTTGTCATTTCTTTATTTCTTCAATTGAGTAAAAGCTCAGAAAGGGAAACCAGATATAATAAATTTTGTATTTTAACCTTGATTGAATAAACCCACCTTGTATTCTTTCCCTGAAAATGTAAGAATCTTCATTTTTAACCTCTTCAAAAATAAACTCAGAGATTGCTTTTAAATCCTTTTTTAAACCAGAAATCTTTTAAAGCTTCTTTTGTATGCCCAATAAATAAAACTTAGCTTTCTCATAAAGTCCTTCAAGACCTTAACAGAGCTCTTTTATAGATTCAGTAACAAAAAGTTATCCAAATCATTTTTCTGGTTTAATAATTGTACATCTCCCTTAAGGAGCAAAACATCCATCAGTTTCATTTCTGTATCCAGTAATCTTCCTCCGTCTTTCTCACTGCTTAACACATTTAAGTCCACCTTCAAATTAATATCTGAATGATCTGTCACAGCTTGTTCTTCTGTAACTTCATTTTTCTTTTCTTTTTTCTCCTGCCATTTGCGGACTTCTTTCCTATCCTCTTCCTTCCTAACCTTGCAGTAGGGGGTCCTCTGAGAAATCCAAGGACAGACATTCATGGAATTTCTGCACACGGAATTGGGGCTATTTTAAGGAGATCGGTGCTTGGTGCAAATATACCAATGGCAAACAGAGGCAATGCTGCAGGCATGTCTTGCATGTTGGCATAGTCTGCTTTTGTCCTGACCAATGAGAAGGGTCCTTCCCATCTGGCTAGCCAGGGTGAAGTCATTTTTCTTCCTTGATAGCAAAAGCAACCTTGGATGTGGAAATCAAAACAAGGAAATGCACTGGTGAGACTACACGTGGAATATTGCATCCAGTTCTGGTCACCACAATACAAAAAGATGTTGAGACCCTACAAAGAATGCAGAGAAGAGCAACAAAGATAAAGGGCCTGTAGGCTAAACCATATGAGAAATGATTGAGGGAACTAGGTATGTCTGGACTAATGTAGAGAAGAACTAGGGGTGATTTGATAGCAGTCTTGAGGGCTGTCACAGAGAAGAGGACGTCAGCCTATTCTCCAGAGCACCAAGGGGCAGAATAAGAAGTAATGGCTAGAAGATCATTAAAGAGAGATCCAACCCAGAACTAAGGAGAAATTTGCTGACAACAATTAATCAGAAATTAATCCTGAGAACAATTAATCAGTGGAACAGCTTGCCTCCTGAAGTTGTGGTGGCTTCATCGCTGGAAGTTTTTAAAGAGGAGACCAGACAGCCACCTGTCTGGAACAGTTTAGATCAGGGGTGTCACGTGACATATAGGGACTTTTTTCCCCCTTCACTAAACCAGGTGGGGGCAGGGCCAGCATGTGATGCCTCCGGCCCCCGGGTCACGCGTTTTGACAGCCCTGGTTTGGAGCCTCTTGCTGGAGCAGGGAATTGGACTAGAAGACCCCCAAGGTCCCTTCTAACCCTATTATTTTATGTTCTGTGTTCTAAAGAAAGTAACGATGGTGAGTGCTGTTGCTGGAATTCCCTGGCCGATTGATTTTCTTATGTCTTGTTCCTTGCAGTTTGAGATGCTGACAGGGGCTTTGCCGTTCCAAGGGAAGGACAGGAAGGAAACGATGACGCTCATTCTCAAGTGAGTCTCAGCATGGAGATCCTGGAGAGGGTTTGCTTGAGGCCGGCCCCCGGTTGGTGAATTGTTTTGGAAAGAGATGCAAGCTGATGAGGTTATCTGGTGCTTTTATGCACTTACACCGATCTTCCTTGTCCCTCTGAGATTTAATAGATGTTATGATCTACAGTTAAAAAGGCATTGACTATCCTGACTATTGTGGAAACACCAAAAGGAGGGGTTGAACTATTTGCCTTAAAAAAACACACAGTATAACCCCCTGTCCCCCGCCCCAAATTATTGTCTGCCAACCTCATTGCCACAAAATCCAGCTGTACTGATCCATTGCTCTTTAAATAGGTTGAATTCCAGTTCTCGTAATGAAGAAGTTGGACATATGGAGACAATCTGTAATCCTCTCCAGCTGCATTGGCAGCATGGGAGATGCAGGCCCCAGAGTGTGTATGGATGCCAGTGTGCCTTGGCATCTGCTAGACTCTGCTGTACTTGACATTAATTTCATGAAACGTGTTTATTTACTAAAGTGAGGCTACAAAACCTTTCCAGCATGGTTTTGTTTCTGAGAGTATGTTGGATCTCACAGACTATATGGACATTCTTAGAAGGTAAAATTGAAAAATAGCCTCAGCTCGGTGCTTTGAGGTTTTATTTTGGCGGGTGGAGGGGGACCTAGATATAGTGATGGTAGAAACCATCCTGGAATTGTGAGAGAAGGTGATGGCAAACATCCCTACCCATTTCTCTTGTATAGCTATCTGTTTTATAACTGGATGCACCTGGCCATGGAAGCCATTAGATGAATAGGTAAAAGATGTGAAAGACCAGGTCCACACATGAAAGTCCAAATCAATTGATTTATTGCTCTGCTCAGGAATATTCTCAACTCATGGTTAGTGCTAGGAGTTTGGTAAGGATAAACAGAATTCAAAGAAGGTTGGACATAGCTCATTTGTAGCGACATAGAGGTTGGAGGCCGATCCCTCTTTTAACTCTCAGGTTCTTCTACTTCTTCCTCTGTATCAGGGATCTCCAACCTTGGCAACTTTAACCCTTGTGCTTCAACTCTGGGAGTTAAAGTCCACAAGTCTTAAAGTTGCCACGGTTGGAGACCTCTGCTCTATATCAACTCCCCACTTCAGGATAGATTTGTGTGTGTGCGTGTGTGTGCAAATATCAAAAACAGGCTTTCACAATTCATGGTGGGCCCCAAAATTTGCCCAGTTCTGAAACGGGTGGAAACCATCACTTGATTCAGAGATGAATTTGTTCCAGGGGCTACAAATAGGAACCCCTGCTTTCAGGGGTGGTATTCCACCCATATAACCACCGGTTTGGCGATTGTGTGCATTCGCGCCAAATGCGCGCTCCACATTTTAAAAAGGCAAACCCATACTTACCTTCAACTGCAGCTTCTGTGAAGAAAACAGCTGAGGCACCACGTGAATCAGCTGTGCTGTAAACAAAGGCATAAGGCACAGGAAAGAGCGGGGCGAGCAGGCCCACTTCCTCATTGCAGTGAACCAGTTGGAGCAAGCTGGACATGGGAACAAGGAATTCAGCCAATCAGGTTCAAACTAGTAGAATCTCACCCCTGCCTGCTTTGCATTCCTTAAAAGCCAGGCCTGTGAGGGATATCATTTGGAGCCTCTCGGCTAGTTCGTACCAAGTGACTGCTTTGGTCCTCCGAGCAAGAGAAGTCACTGTGAAGTTGAAAAATGATGGTACTGCAGTGTTTTTCCCCCTTTGCTGTCTCATGTCTACTTCTGCACATATATACCTAAATATATACGTATGGTATTCAGCTTTGTTCGGATATTTTCCCACATCATTATAGCTGTGCTTTTAAAGTTGTAGCAATGTTTCGGCAGAATCTCATCTGCCATCATTAGGCTTCTGTATTGTGTTCGTCTGGTAAAAAGATATATATATATATCTTTTTGTTTAGAGCAAAGCTGGGCATGCCCCAATTTCTAAGCTGTGAAGCTCAAAGTCTTCTGCGAGCCCTTTTCAAGAGGAACCCAATCAACAGGTTAGGTAAGACCTTTGTGCTAGTTTTGCATCTGAGCATCCTCGCACTGCCCCCATCCATGACGTAGGGAGTCAGATGGACCCCAGTAGGTCTTTCAGCAGGTTTTCTGCATAGCACGATGCTATCAAAACTTGTCAAAACTAAAAGCATTCAAAATATTGAGTCCCAGCACCCAAACAAATCGGATTCTGCTAATGGGGTGGACAAGCATATTCTTTATGAGGAGTGGACAACTATGGCAACTTTACGACCCGTGGACCAACTCCCAGAATTCCTGAGCCAACAAGAATTCTGAGAGTTGAAGTCCACAGGTCGTAAAGTTGCCATGGTTGCCCACCCTTGTTTTTTACTGTATGCATAAACTCTACACTGTGTGTAGAACTTGTCAAAAAGAGTGCACCGTACTTTGCAGGATCTGGCCCAGATGGTGTTGAAGAAATCAAACGTCACTCTTTCTACTCTACCATTGACTGGAATGTGAGTATAGAATTGTTTTGGTCTGCTTCCTGTTTCATTTGGTATGATCTTAAAATTCTGGTTTCAGCGACAGGACAATACGGGTAGTCCTCAACTTACAACCATCATTGGCATCAGAATTTGTGTTGCTAAGCAAGGTCATCACAAAGTCTGTCACACCCGATTTTACAACCTTTTGTGCTGCAGTTAAAACAAATCGCTGCAGTTGTTAAGTGAATAATGTGGCTGTTCAGCAAACCCATCGAGTTTGCTTGTCAGACCTCAGCTGGGAAAGTCGCAAATGGTGACCACACAATTCTGGGACACTGCAATCGTTGTAAATACACAGTGGTTGTCAAGGCCAAATTTTGATCATGTGACCATGTGGGTGTTGCTACAATCTGAAATGCGAGGAACAGTCATAAGTCAGTGCCATTGTAGCTTTGAATGGTGACCAAACAAACGGTTCTAGGTTGAGGACTACTGTCATGCCCCTGGTGGAGTCTGACTCTGAGGAAGAGGAGGAACAGCCAACAGGGAGTGGGAGCGTGGCTCCAGAGGTGGTGGAGGAGGCTGGGGAAGGGCAGAGGCTGGCTGAGCAGTCAGAGGAGGATCCAGGCCCATCCCCTATCCATCCTAGGTCACACAGGGAGGAGAGGATCAGGGAAAAGCGAGGTCTACTCAAGAGGAGATTACCATGATCCTCCTCGTGGCTTGCAGGTGGGAGCTATGTATATAAGTTTTCAACTATGTAGTTAGAATTGCTGGAGTCAATTAGTGTTCACCTTGAAAGAGGTTTATCTTTGCTGGCGTTCTTCCCATGGACTTTTCTCGGTTATTTTTCTGGAGTTTATGATTAGTTATCTCGGCTTGCTTCAGAACTCTCATCAATGCAGTTTGTTTTGGTTTTCTGTTTGCCTCATTATTTACTTTTGTGACTTTAAACTGTGCCTAATAAAACAGTGAAGTTAAGTTGAAGGCTTTATCGGACTTTAATATATGTTTTGGGTTTTGGGTTATTTTGAGAGACTACGGGTCATCACAACTACCTGTATATAGATTTGGCTTGTTTATGGAGTAAACCACGATAGAAGCCACTCTGGGTATGCTGGCTTGTGTCCTGGAACTATAGATCTGAGCCCCTCCCCAGGACACATGAATTCCTTTGGTTTCCAAACTTCCAAACCCAGCTTAGTGTCTTCCTGATGGCCAAACTGGTACTGCTCAAATAGTTGCGCACCATTTCCATAAAAAATGAAGCCTATGACTGATTTTTTTTCTTTGCATCTTTGGCTCTCTTGGTGCATCGATACCCTGAGCCTAATCATCTTATTTCTGTATGATTTTTCATCCTCCAGAAACTTTTCCGTCGAGAAATCAAGCCACCGTTCAAACCTGCTGTGGGCCGGCCAGATGACACCTTTTATTTTGACAAAGAATTTACCTCCCGCACACCCAAAGGTTGGTGTTCGGCTTTTAATAATCTGAAGACAAGACACACACACACACACTCTCTCTCTCTTTGTGTGTGTGTGTGTGTGTGTGTGTGTGTGTGTGTGTGTGTGTGTGT